AGCCGAGCCCTCTGTGTCACACAGACCTCAGACAGACGGTGGCGTAGCGCGTGTGCGCAGGGTTTCGGGGAATTGTCCTCGAGCCCAGACGCCTAGCAAGCAAGCAAGCAAGCAAGCAAGAGAGAGAGAGTGTGTGTGTGTGTGTGTGTCTGTGTGCGCGTGCGTGCGCATGTCAGTCTTTGTGTTTCTCGCTCTCGATTCTGTGCGCGCGTGCGTGTGTGGCTTGTGCTTGTGTTGAGTTTCTGCTGGTGTGTTTGGATGTGGCTGCGTGTGGGTCCCTGTCCGCTACTTGGACCGTGTGCTCACATGCAAGTTCTTGCAGGACGGTATCAGTTACATGCAGATCTGCAAAGTTGGCGCATATGCTGACAGCGTCTTCGCACTGGGGCAGCATTGGCTTGTTGTGGGGACTTCGAGAAACATAGATACTTCGAGATCCCAGCACTGACAAGAGTGAATCACAGCGGGCCAACTTGATCCGGAAACTGTGGATACATAAGTCCTTCAGCATGCCTGTGAAGTTGGGGAGAAGGCGTAGATGGACAGCGGAAGCAATAGCAGGGCAGACTAGTCTGTATCTAGTCTGCGCCCGTTCAGAAGCAAGCCTTTTCGGGGGAACATGCCACCAAGGTGCTGCCGTTAGCTTTGACGCTCACCGACTTTTGCTACCCGACCCGCTCAACCATCGCACAGCTTTCGGTGTACATCGAGGCTCCGCGCTGCAAGAAGCTGCTCGGCTTAAAGGCAAATTTCGCATCCAATTCCACAGTTGTCGCGGCTTGTGTCGCACTTGGTTCCTGGTGCCCAGGATCTTTTCCTTGGAGAGCAGCCCAGCAGCAGTTGGGCTGTGAGATTCAACATTGAAGAGACTTCCACAACGTCGGGCACCTCCTGCATACTACTCCAAGGCATTTCGCTCTTGCAAGAGACGGCAAGTGCCCTGGATCATGAAGTCGACTTGTGCTGGCCGCGGCTGAGGAGGACCCTGGTCACTCCTCCAACATTTCAGAAAGGTTGAGTCTGTGCCAGCCGAGTGGAGGACTTGCTTCCAGCTGATCGACTTGATGTGCTCTAGCTGAATTTCAATACTTGTGAGCACTGCTTGAAAGAAGGCATTTCTCTGTGTTTTTCAGAGCTGAAGCTCTGAATTTACCACTCGTGTCGCATGTGCCTCGACTGAAGCAGCCCGGCTCAGATAAGACAGCGACTTCCATCCACGCTCCCGCATCTCGAAGCTGCAACTTCAACCCAACACAATCCTGAGCCGACTTGTCCAGTCGGCGAAAAGTCATGTATTTATTGCCAAATATGAAACCGCTTTCCGCACACCAGCGCTTCAGCGTGAATACAGGGTTTACACCGGGCTTGCATCAGCGGGCTTGTGCCCAGTGTAGACTTCTCGGCTTATCGGATACTCGGCTGCGGCGCACCTGGTCTAGGGTTTATGATTTATGGGCTTATTGGCTTCCCGGCTTCCATGGGCTTCGGAGCAAGAAACACATGCTGCACCTTCGGACAAGGAGAATTACCAGGGTGAAGTACCGACTCTGAATCAACGGTAATCGGGGAAGTGAGAGTGAGGATCCACTATCAAGAGCAGCATTCGGCCGCACCTCCAGTGTAAAGGTCGCCGTTCATGAAGCGACTGCGGGGACAACGAGACTCCCATTTGGATGTTCGTGCTAGGCGTGGACGTTTGGGTGCACAGCCACAGATGTGTCATGCAAATCCGGTCCTGCGCAGGGTGATCACGGCCGTTTTGCACCTTCTGCTGGTTCTGGCGGAGCCACACCTGCGGGCGCAAAGCCAGGATGCGAGACTTCTACGCACTAGTTTGGCAGAAACTTGGCAAGAAAGGGCAACGTAAGCAGAGTGAACCAAGGATCACATCCATCCTCAAGCACGTCGACCGCATCGTTTTGAGAACTCAGGACGATTCCCTGCTACTGCCTGCCTAAGTAAAGTTGTACGATTCCGCTCAGCGCAGGACATTTCCAAAGTGGTACCCTCGATGAAGTACTTCATTGATCTGCTGGAGTACTACGTTGGCCTCGACAACACTGTTGACTTTGAAGAGGAGAAGGCATGGCTTGTCCAGCTCATGGGACACTGTTGTTCCGACGACGAGCACCTGTGTGCAGACCTTCTCAAGTACAAGGAGGGTTCCATATTGATATCGTTGTCGCGCATGTTGATGGATGACAGCAAGACTGCTTGGAAAGAAGTCGTTGCGCTGCGACAACGACCGGATCACGATCCCAGACAGGTCCATCCAATTCTCATGATGCAGCGTGGAGCCTTGTTCGCACTCTCCTGCCTCATGCAACCGCAGCACGTTGCTGACCTCGTCATGCGTGCAATTGATTGCAAGCTGGAGCGCAGAGTCATTGCCACTCTTGACAGGGAAACTGTTGAGGAATATTTTGCTGGACAGGAAGCACGAAAGACCTACACACTTTCGTTCGTTCTCGTCATGCGTTCGGGTCAGTGCAGAAACTCCAAAGTACCTGACTTTCAGCCAATTGTTCTGGGTGGGAACACGAACTTGCCAAGCATTTACGTCAACTTGCTGGACTTCAGGCTTTGGATTCAAATTTGCACAGTGTCAGGAAAGTACGAGACGTTCGTATGTCAGAAAAGCCTAGAGGAGCTACCTCAAGGGCAGATTGTTGTGACCATCGTGGTGAACGGCTCATCGATTCAGGCATATCTCAACGAGCAGGCTCAGCTTCCGGTCTCGAGGAAGCTTGGCGATGACCCCAAGATCCTGCAGGATGGACAGATCTTGAGCGGGAAGGTTCAGCAACTGGTGCCCAAGCCTGGGCAGCCAGTCTTCGACGGAGTTCTCACGCTCTTGAGAGCCAGCCAACACCCAGCAGCTCCGCATGAGGTGGAAAGCTCCATTAAGGCATCGCAGAAGGAGGCTAAGCAGATTCTGACTCGGCGAAAGGAGCGCCTAAACGACCAGGGTTTCCCGGACTCCGTGTACAACGTCACAGAGGTTGCCTCGGCACTGCTGCAGTACATCCGGCTTCAATTCCATGATGATCCCGAAACTCGCAGGGAAAAGCGGCGCATTGGCGAGCTGGACCTCATCGACCCCACCACGACGATGTGGATGATCTCGAACAGCGGCGTGTGTTCCCAGCTGCTTCCACAATCCCACCCGCGCTATGTGGGACTCTTGAAGACCCCCTTGCAGAGAGCCATATTCCTGGCAGCTTTGGTTGCAGACAACTTCGAGAAGACAGAGGCACATGATGTCCAGCTTGGATTTCCACCGGAATTTGGGCCTCATGATAGGTCACGGCCAAAGCCTCCAGATCACTCTGTGTTAGTGGCGGTCGCCGCTTTTCTCAGCCAGCTGCTTCAGTCCCCGCGAGGACGGATGGTCATGGCAGAGGACTCATCTGCAATGTTGGTGGTTCGACTCATTCCAATGTGTGGAGTGCGACTGGACCTCTCTGGCTATGTGCAGAAGTCGTTTCGGAACCTGACTTCTAAGATGTGTGCCCTGATGTTACAAGCCAAGCAGGATGCCCCGACAACATCTTTGGTCTTAGATGCACTCTTCAAGAAATCAATGAGCGACGAGGGCCTTATCTACAAAGAAGACTTGCAGAACCTGTTGCTGTCACAGGCCTTGACTGCGCTCAGAGACATCATGCACGCGTGCATATCGACCAGGACTCATCGGCAATCCCAAATCCACCAGCTGCACCTGGACATCCAAATGCAAATTGACTTGATCCGTACGCAAGAACAAATGCAGGGCCACGACGAGGCAATCCTCGCTCCACACAAGCAGCAAGTGGAAAGGCTCAACGCAGACCTGTCAAAATTGCAAAGCGAAGTTCAGGACCAAGAGAATTTGTTCATACACTGTCAGAAGCTTCAGCGCCAGTTCTTCCTACAGCTCCATCATATAATGGATGAAATCATCCACGGCCTGCCCTTGCGTCCGCTTGATCTGTGCTTGCTCACCCAAATGGTCAACACTGCTTTAGAAACACCCTACGTCGGCTTTCACCGTGGAAGTGATCTCCACGCACAGAAGATGCTCGAAACAGAGCTTGCAGAAGGCATGCCATGGGAAGTGTGGTTGAAGTTCGAGTTTCCTGGAGCGTCTCATCTTCAGGCCAGTGTGTCGAAGCAGTTCCCGTTTAGATCGAGGATGCGTGGTCCCAGCAGCAAAGTCCTTCTGAACGTTATGGAAGAAGCCAACCTCCGGGATGAAAGAAGCATCTTGTCGCCCAAGTTGCGCAATGGCTCTTCGTCTGGCGGGGATCATGTTTTTGTCCACGTTGTTGGCTCCGAGGAGAAGTTGCAGGCAGATGTTGAAGTCCGAATTCTTCCCGAGTTCGATCCGCCGCTACGCCTGCCTCAAGAGCATGTATCCTTTGAAGGGCGCATCATCGAGTTCGCAAGCGCTGTCCTGAAGAAGGACGACTTACCCGCAGATGCATATGCCAATGTGTGTCTTCTCCTGGCCTCGCAGCGCAACGACATGCGAGCAAATTCTTGCATTCCTCACCTGGCCTCAATTTTGATGACCTGTTGCAGGGAACTTTGGGTCGGTCGGCTCGTCTGCGCCGAGCTTTTGCAAGGTGTCCTTTATCCAGAGAAACACCTGTCGCCGATACTGTACTTGGCCGGCACCGCAGCAAGTACACCTCTGGACACACGGCTCTACGTGCTTCAGGTCTGCAGCCAGGTGATTCATCCTGCTATGACGCCGGAGGAAGGCTTCCTGCAATTTCTGGACAATGTATATCGTCACCGCATTGAGTTGCCACGTCCGGCGGATGATGAGTTGCCACGTCCATCTTTTGGCGAAGAGCACAAGAAAGCCTGTTCGGTGACCTGCTTGATGTCCGCATTGCACAAGCAGCTCCCCCGAGTCTTCCAGGTTGCTTTGTTCAACCTGGCAGAGGCGATCCTTGCGCGAGATGCGGGGGAGTGCTCGGATCTGATCAATGAGAACCAGTGGGCTGATGGAGCTGTAGTATTCCAGGAGCTCAATCCTGGAAAGTTTGCCTTCTGGCGAGAGCTCCACTGGTTTCTCATGTTCGGCCATCCTGAGGTCCAGGATGCAGCGGTGCGAGTCCTTCTCATATTGTTTTGGCAGCAGAGCGTGCAGCTCGTCACTCTGATTTGTAGGACAGATGACTCAGGAGATAGCCAGCTTTCAGGGAATTATTGGTTGCTTGTTCCGCTGCTGAGACTCCTGGGTCATAACAACGATGAAGTCGTCGCCGATTTGCTGAAACTCTTTGCTCCTCTGGCCCGCAGCTACAGTTCCGGCGACCACGAAGAAGAGGACATTCATGACCTGGATGAGGCGAACGAAGACAGACTCATCCGACTTGCCAGGTCGGTTGTTTCCGAAGCAAGTCGCTCGGAGATCCTCAAGGAGGCCATGGTTCAAGTGAGCCCAAGATTCATCGTGAGAGCGATGGATTGGCCCTGCGACGTACGAGATTTCGTTCTGGACGTTGTGCTAACGCGCTCGGTCATGCAGGAGTTGACCGTATCCCCGGAGCTTGCGAGCGAATTCTGGGATGTCATGATTCACCTTCTGAGGGAATGCGGACTCGCAGGGCAGTCTTGGGTATCAACGACGCTCAAGGAATTGGCACGCATTTCTGAGCGAGTGGTCTCGCAGTCGAGTGGTGAGGATCTCCGAATGGTGCGGAGCGTTTGCTCGCCCAAGGCTCCCTTGCGTAGGACCGTAGGACACTTTGGCCGCGAGCGCTCGCTCTGATCGCTGCCCACTGTCCCTGAAGGTCATTGCCCCATTGGTCTCGCACATCGCGGCAGGCACCGTGCTGTCGGACTCTGATGTTGCCAAAGAGATGTCCCACGCCCTGGCCGAAGTGCCTGACTCGTGCTCTGGCTGCTGGAAGAACTACCCGAGGTCACGATGTAAGTCTCACGAAGCGGGAGGATTGTCATGAGTAGCGAATGGCGAGTGGATCGTCTTGGGATCCATAGAGTCCGGCAGCCTAGATGACAGTCTTGGGAATAGCATAAACAGCTTGTACGGAAGCTCGGTCAGCAGGTGTTTAAGTTGGCGGTCGATTACGCAAGAGGCACTGTAGATCCCTGAAGATGTCTCGTCTGAGGCTGCTGTCCTTGCTGATCCTGCTTCCGGAGAAAGAGCACCGATCTCAGTTGCAAGCACAGGGCTGCGTACGCTGACTGAGTATCCCAGCTTGTTCGACTGTCCAGCAGCTGTTCATGGCATGGGGTTTATTTCGGAGTGCTATATGGCCGCACGGCCACACTTGGAATGAACCGGAATGAGTCCGTTGCCATCTAGAATCTAGAATCTATGTAGTGCTGCATTCCGCACATCTAGACTATTGCAATGGGGTCTTATGGTCCTAGTAGTCACGCAGGCTGGTGTCAGACCTTGAGAAATACACGGGAGTGTGAATGCTGGGATAAGCTTGAATTCAATCATGAATTTGGTTAAGAAACTGTTCTGATTTGGCAAGTCGATGTGCTGCTGCATCATCACTCACCACCTTTCATTACCGCATCAACACTGGTGCGCCCAGATCCGTGCTGGTTCTGCACTAACTCGACCCATTTGGCGGTGTTTTCTTTCATTGCCCGCGGAAAAGACATGTCCTGTCAAGACACAAGAGAATCTCTGCCTCACTCGTGGAGTTGATGTGCATTCTCAATTCTGAATTGGCTCGACATCCCAGGCAAATAAAGCTGCTGTCCGGGACGCTGAAGGCCAAATGGATTCGACAGATGCTTCTGCCCTGCCTCGCATCCCGATCTGCCGATCTGCAGCCTAGGATTTGCTCCACATCGGAGTGGAAGAGGTTGACGAACGATTCAGGCTCGTCTGAGAATGTGGAAGCGGCGTGGCGTGTGCAGTTCCCACCTCTGAGGCCAGGTCACAACAAACGCACCAACGATGCCTCTCGGTTCAACCGGAGACTCTTGCACAGTCCTTTCTTCCATGCAAGCACACATGGCATCCTGCATTGCCGTCCGTGCTAACAAAAATGTACCTGTGCGAGAACACGCTTCTGGTTCACGGGTGCTGTATACCTATAATATCCTATAATTATCATAGGTACTTCTGCTAACGCTACGATGAACCCAACGTTTTTCTGTTCTGAATCTCGAAACCAAGGCATTTCTCATGTGTGGGATGGCTGTTTCCGTGTCAACAACAGCAGCCTGAAACCGCATTTCGTTGTAATCAGAAGAAAGACGACGCTTCCGCGACACAAGTCATTGGATAAAACATGAGCATTGTGCAGAAGCTGCCGTCACCGCAACTGGAGCACACACCCGTTCGGAAAGTGCGAGCATTTGCCAGGGCCTAAATGAAGGGCAGATTCAAGGTGACCAAGGGCCATCATCTAAGGGGCCAGCTGAAGAAATAGGATCAACCGCTACTGCCTGATGAGGGGTTATGCGCAACACTGATACAAAGTTTGAGAATCCCAGCGAAAACAAACTTGTCTTGCAAAGTAGCCAGAAGCACTACCAGAGAACAGCCAGAAGAAAACACATCACATCGTTGCTCTCGACCATTTGGAGCCAAGGACCAACTGGAATGATACAAATCCAGCGGTTGGAGCAAGAAGAGGAGCACCAACCGTTTTCGATAGCGTCAAAAATAAGCCGCCGCGGAAAGAACCCTCAAACTCGGTATTTCCAACTAGCTTGCCGCAGAACGAAACCTTTCCCGCTGCATACCAAACAGTTGTTTGATCTCATGGCCATACTTGTTCCACGCGGCGGGCTTGGCTCATCTCACCTTCTTATCATCTAATTTTCAGTCTCATCTAACTCATCTAACCAGTCTAGTCTGACCGAACTTAAGCTCATCTCAGCTCAAGCGCGCGCTCTCTCTCTCTCTCTGTGTCTCTCGTTCTCTCGACCTTTAAACTTTTCTTATACATGCACATGTATTCGTTTATGTGTACATATGTATATATATACACACTATAAATATTACATATCATTTGAGCACATGCGTGAATAAAGCATACACATATGTTTGTTCACATAGTCATGACACATAGTCATATGTTCACATGGTTACATATTCGTACACCCTACCTCTTTACACTCCGATCACGTGGTGGGCTTGCAGACAGAGGTCTGGTTGCACGCTACTGTGACGTTTTGTGGACATTCGGGCAAGGTCAAGCAATGTAAACAGTAGTCAGATGTGGATCGAAGGCTATCAAGACATGGGTCGGGCGTTGCATCCTGATCTTCTTCTCGGCAGCGCTTCTGACTGATATGGAAAGGCAGTACCCGAAGGACCGGGAAGGCTACACTACCAGGGGCAGGGAGATTGTTGCAGGTCCTTTGCTGATGCCTGTGTAGCAATCAGGATTGTCCTGTTGAGCAGATGCCAGATGGATCTAGTGCCCCCGGCCCTCTTCCAATACTTGTTCCCGGTGCGCAGCAGCTCGACTTGCCTCGAGACCCGTGGGTCAGAGGTTGCCAACAGGCTTGTTGGTCTTCGAGGCCATCTGTCAAGCGGGCAGAGTAGTGGCACTGCCCCGAGGCAAGTCAAGCTGACATGCATCAGAAAGAAGGCCATGACCGTCGACATCTTGATCAGCAAGGACATTGATCCAGTTTGACGGTGAGCCCAAATGTGCCGCTTTGCAAAGCAGGAAAGCTCCGAGGCATCCGTTGACCCTACGAATCAGGCGCCCACAACCGCTCCACGAGCCAGAAACACTGTCCACCGACGATTGTCTGGATGCCATGACAGGCGAACTTTGTCATCCCGACAAAAAACCTGCCATACAGTGTCTTGGTTGATGTTAAACCCTTAGGACATCCAGGCACGGTTTTGAAGCCCAAACCCAAGGTGTGCAGATTCCCTTCGAGACGGAATTCGCTGTTATCAGCCCTGGCCGTGCATGGCGACTCGACTCAAGCTTTCGGTTTCGACACTGGGCATCCCAGTACCCTTGCACCTCCAGGTGTTGTTTTGACAAGTCCTTGAGCCGTGGCGAGAACAGAGAGGAGTTCAAGATTCGCCCTTTGTCTGCTTTTGGTCAAACCTTGGTTTTGTAGGCGCGTGTTGAAGACCAGAGTCTGCGAGTCCGGGGTCCAAGCTGCTTAGGCATTGAGCCACAATTCATGTTCGCGTCCATCAAGCGCCAAGCAGTGGAAGACTTCTTCTCGGGTGGACATTTCAGGACGTCAGCATTTCTGTGCATGATCATGCCTGCTGAGTACTTTACTACAGGCCATGATGCTGCTTGTTCGCCACCAGAGACTGGAATCGAGACACACTGTGCCTGTTCCGTGAATGTTGTGCCGATGAGAAGTGACGGCGAAAACTCACGTCGGACCTGGCGCAGTTCTGGTTCTCGCCAACTGGCGAGTACCAGCCCTAGCAGAAAACATGGATATCAATCACGCTGGTCTACATGCTCATCAATGCTTGTGCTGGTTTCTCAATCGCTAGCTACGAAGCATGCCATGCATGATTCCCCAGTGCGAAGATTCCAGACGTATCTTCTCCTCGCAAAGCTGGTCATGATCTGCACATTTTCGCCTCCGGAGTTCTTGTCTCACCATCCCGGCTAAATGCCGTCTTTCACCAGATTGTGCGTTTGGATTTTGCTCTCTGGATCTGTCCGAGTCCGCCGGCGATGAAGTCTCCTTGTAAACCGTTGCCGCATTGTATGACACCCGTGTCTTTCGATGCCACACCTTCGCCGCACGCCGATAACCCATGAGCAGGATGGTCAGGTAGAACGCTCATTGTTGAAACGGAATCGATGAGATCTGATTCCTGGTTGTCATCCATGCTCGAAGCATTCTCCGACCGAAACCGCTCTGGTCTGCCTTTGCATCTGCGTTGCCCAAGAGAACTGCCCAGACGTGGCAGGCCGTAAGCCAAACCTAACCATTCGCACTTCAGAGAGCTAGATATGCTGCGAGTCCGCCGAAGAAGGTGCTGCGGTCAACAGCATGCGAGCATATGGAGGCACGTAAAGTCGAGCCCATGCCAAAGAAAAACGAGCTCTCACTGCACGGCGGGCCGGCTGGTCAGCTTCCAATCAAGGTCCAGAAGTCTCGCGTGTACGGGCCACCATGGACAATGCCATCATGGGCCATGGTGGACCAGCTGTCCACCGAAAGCTTGGGGCCACCATGTTTTTCCTGTGCAGAACCATGCCAAAAGTCGACGAAATTCTATTGGTGCTGTCGGCTTGGCGGTGTAGCACTGGTAGGAGTACGAGTCTGCTCGTATCCAAGTCCCGTAGCCAGAAAGCACCCAGTGGCCCAGACGAACTTGCATGGCGCGTCCAAGCGGCCCCAACTCGGCCGTCAGACGTCCCGTTATCACATGCTGTCCCGGTGGTGCAAGCTCTGCCCCTGTAAAATAAACGAGAACTGCCACAGCAGTCTGACAGCGCGTTTGAACAAAACTGTGAGAGCTGAAGTTTCCTTGCGGAGACGCAACACATTGTCGATGCAGGAAGCTCATCGATACGCTGCTGCCTTCTCCACCGGACGATCCGCACAGCATACGCGGTGTTCCGCTTGGGGTGTTGCAGGTGCCAGTCGTTTTGTCGCACAGTGGTCCGTCCCTCGGGCGATTGGACAGCAGGCCGTAAATTGGTCCTTCGGCGTGCCTCGGATTCTCTACAGTTTGTTTGAAGCTGCAGTGACAGCCTCCGAATCCTGGGGAACTTCAGGTCCTGGCATTTGAGCTAGAATCTTCGCTCAAGGGCCTTCGCCCTCAGCCGATTCAGGCTGTGTTCTGCGTGCCCACAAGTTTTCGCACCATCAGCTTGCAGCCGATGATGGCTTTCGCTGCAGGCACTGAACCCACAGCATTGCCCAGTCATCCACATGCTGCGAGTCGTCAGGACTGACAGAGTCCGCAAGATTAACTCGGCCGATCGACTAGCGGCTGTGTGTCTTGACAGGACTGTGGTCTACAAAGTAGTCGCTTCACGTCCACATGAGGAGCGCTATGGCCTGGGATTGGGAGATTGAAGTGCACTCGCAATGACTCACTAAGAGATAACCGTGCAAGCTCGTGCATGATAAAGGACGACTACGAGTCCCTGCAGTTGCAGATGGCAGCAGCTGCCACATCCTGAGCAAGAAGCATGCACAAGGGTTATGTAGAGCTTGCTTCTTTTTTGATCATGTCGTGAGAGATGCTGTTGGTGTGTTGCTTGCATCGGCCTAGCCAAGGAGAACACTATCTACACGTTCGCTCGTGTCAAGGAGTTCAAGGCCTCCGTCTAAGGACTGGAACTTGCCATGTCCTTCTCAATCCCGGCAGGATGCAATTCTGGGTGGCAGGAACGAGTGGAAGAACTTGCCACTCCTGCTTGACATGATGAGAAGCCGGCTAGAGCCGCACTGGGTGTCAACAATGTCCAAAGTGCTGGCAGCAATCATCAACAGGACTGCCTTTGCATAGGAGACGCTCACGTGTCCAATGCTTCCATGGACTTCCCAGAGTTAGAGCCCAATCAATGCAGCACATGTCCGCCAGAGAGACCTGATTCTTGTCGCTGGGATGGATTGGATGCTGTTTGCCACCTGTACTACTGCGAGCTTGTTTGCGATCGGGTGGGCGACCCAACCATTCTTGGCGAAGCTTGTGTTGTTTATGCCTTTTGAAATTAGGCCTGCGCAGACAGCCGCCAAACGGCCAAAGAGCACGGAGATGTAGTTGTCTACACTACGACCGACCACGCAAAGCCTGCGACGTAGACAACCAACAAGTGCAGGCAGAAGCGCCAGAGAATGCCAAAGGTCCAAACGTGGTGATTCTTCTGCGGAAAATACACGAACTCTGCAAACTACGAACGGCGCTGTGGCGTCCCATTTTGTCGGCGGGGATATCGAGACCACACAGAAGAGGTCCCAGCCACGCTCTGACCGGCCCGAGCTATTGAGTCCAAAGTGCGAGCGACACTGTGGCGCTGCGGCGTGAGCAGGACTTGCGCGTCCCGTCCAACTTTGCCGTCTGTTTTGACAGGAAGCCTGAGAGTGTCAAGTCCCCCTTCGAGTCGCTGATCATGTACCTGGAGCTGGCCATGAAAAGGCCGGGTCCAATCTTTCCTGGGACCTTTGCGGTCTTTTGGCCCCCCCTTGAGGGTTGCAAGCAGGCGATCTCCTGATTCGCTGGACTATCGCGTCCTCACGCCACTGGTCAGTGTTTACGCAGACTTCCTGGAGGCACCGGCTAAGAATGCTTCTCCAACCCCCTGCAAAAGAGACGCCAGCTAGGCCGGGTGGAGCCCGACGTACGAGGAAATGGAGGTTCGGCCCAAGTACGGAGCCACCAGACTGAGAGATCCGCAAAATGCAGGACCGGGGCAACAGCGGGTAGTCCAACTCATGTCGCAATGTGAAATGATGTGTGATAGTGAACGACTACGAAGGAGCCAAGAACTCCGACCTTTGCCTTTTTGCTCTGCTGTTGGTCAACTCCTCGGACCCCTTGATGCGGGCAGCGTGCCAGGGACTTGGACTAGAAAATTGCACCATTCAAGTCCACTGCATTCCGGCATTCAACTTGTGACGAGGCATCAGGGCCATCCGCGTGCTAGGCGCAACCTTTGCACCGATGCCGGGGACCGAATGCGTTCCTGAAAAGCTCGTAGTGCTGGAAGGCGGTCGAACTGCCCGAAAACAACCGGTGCTTCACTCAGAGTGAGCATTCGGATGAGTGCCTGCTTGAGCAACACTGGATCTCATCCCGCATGCCTCGGCTTAGATCCTCCACATCACTCGCTTCGAAGCGCAGCTGCACTAGTACATTAGCATCGTGTGTTGATGCAGGCAGCAAGGCATCAGTTGTTTTGTGACTGAGGTCAACATCTGCATGCTGCCACCAGATCCGAAGACGCAAAAGCCATATCAAGGCCTTCCACCACAGGGCCTGTCCATAGCTCTACCAAGGACCCCGCTCTTGCGTTGGCGTTGGCGGGTCAACATAGCGACAATTCAATCGTTTTTGCCCACTGCTGTCAGTCCAAAAGTCCGACTCCTTGAGAGGAAGTCCTTTCATTTGGCGCCATTTGCATATTCAATGTGGCTGTACCTGCAAGATGAAGCGGCAGGGAGCTCAGATTTGGCGCAGAAATCAGGTGCTGTCAAGAGCAGCCATCACTAGTCTACAACCCGAAGGTCCGAAGTGAATCAGGCACCAGGACGCTTGGGCATCGTTGTCAGTGTGTAATAGTTGCTGCCTGACACAGAGCGCAGAATTTCTATCTTGTGGACAAGGATATTCCACATTGTGAGCCATGCCACGCCTGCCAGCACCGTGCCGCAAATTCAGCTCTTTCTCGCTCCAGGACGGGCTGAGCTGAGACAGGGCGCAGCATGCGACGTAGCCTTTCCATCACCGTAAGGTGTGTATGCATAAGCGAAGATGAATAAGACATTCCATGCCATTGTGAAGATTTTCGCAGACAGATCGACCATCCCAAAATGTGCAGGCCCCGGCAAGGACTACAACAATTGCCGATTCGAGGTCCGTCTCGGCCCCCTGGCAGCAACAGAGACGTAGTTTTCATGTCGCTGAGCCGCTGCGAGAATCGAATTTGTTCTGAGGAGATAGTCACTTCGTGCCTGACGAGGGCACGGGAGTCCTCAAGCGACATGCCTGGGCAGCCCGGCGGGATTCGCTAGGGCCGCTAGAGCATGGGCAACGACAGATCAGTGAAAGTAGAAGAGTGACTGGCCCAAGGCGTCGGAAAGGCAGCCGCACGAGAAGTTGAATCACTCAAGCATGCACCGTTTGCATGGCTAGTTCGGAACAAGGATCATGTAGTTGCGGCCTGTTGAAATGGCAAACCGAAAGGGGTTTTGGAACATGCCGTGACGCCATGTATGTTAGAGGCCACGGAAGGTGAGGTCGGAGAGGGATGGAGTGCAGCCTTTGGTGGGTGGTGTGTGTATGTGTGTGTGTGTGTTCTCGCACGACGGCAAAGCAGACTTAGCAAGTGTCAGAACGGCAACTCACGATGCAGTTAATGCCTTGCAGTTCGCTCAGGTGCACGTTTGTTTAGTGTTGGGTCGGCGCAACATCATCCTTTACATCAACGCAGAGGTGGTCATGCAGAAGGACGGTCGTCAGAATCGGACAGTCAAGTTTGGAAGCCAGCAGCTGAACCCTTCAAATTATTTCAATTTGGTGCAAGCCAGTCGCAGAACTGATGGAAATTCAGGAGACATCAGGAATGCAGCAATTCTCAAACCTTCGTGGTCCACAGCGGGGCACGTGCTATGTTGGGATACCGCCTCCAGATCTCGTCGCACGCCTGGAGACTTCAATCAAGCGCGATTGATCTACAGTAAGTGCAAGCCACAACTGCAGTTTGGAGCTGCTTGCGTTGCCTGCAAAGGTCCCCTACCATGCAATGAACTGGTTCTTTCCTGGTTACATTTTTGAGCTGTCCGGGACTTGTTTCCCTGTTTGGGAGCACCGGCGCAGCCCCACAAATCCCAGCCCAGGGCCTATCACGATGAAGGGCTCAGTGCTTCCCAAGTTGAAGTTCTTCACGCAGGAGGTCGGAGAATACCGACATCTCGTCCATTCTGGTCATAATCGAAGTTGGTAATGAAATGCACAGGACGTCGCTCGCTTCCTCTGAATCTATCCAGCTTCGAATCTGCTGAAGACACGGAGTGCCATAGCTGAGTGTAGAAAGCTCCGCCAGTCCATAGTACCGGCAGAGACGGACATGTTCGTGTTCGGGGAAGGGTGTCTGAAAAGCCTCTGGCAGAGGTCTTGCTGCATCTATCCTTACATCAAATGGAAGCCCACCCCGTTGCATTGGTTGGCAGCGCGCCCAGCGCGCCCTTCTGCCTGGCTCGTGTCCCTCTGCGGCCTGGGCGGGCTTGGGCCATCCTGGGCGAGCCGAGGTCACCAGCGACATTTGGGAGAAACTTGAAGGGCCAATCCTCACCTTGCTGGCCTCGAAGGCACCTTCTGTTTCTTTTTGGCCCCTGTATTGCTGTACTTGCCTTGCTTTGCCTCCAGGACCATTTGATGAATGAGACAGAAGTCGCTCAGCTGGATTTTACGTGTGAAGCTGGATGTAGCAAGTCTCAGTGGCAAGATAAAGCATGCAAGATGCGTGACACATCCATGAGGTTGATGAGTTTCAGCTGGAAGCAGTGCGTGCCCTGCGCAGTGCAGCAAGCCACTTGCTGGCGGCCTGCTTCGACCTGGATGAACCTTTTGGGCAATTATGCGCAGACTGCTCGTGCCACCCCCTAGGGAACTGCAGTAGACTCCAATACGCAGTGCAGCTTTTCAGGAAGTTTGCAGCCGACGGCTCCGACAGTGGGCAGTGAACTTTGCACAGGTGAAGCCCGATTCTCAGCTCTGAGAAGCAACCGAAGGATGCCTAAAGGGCCTAAATGCCTGAAGCAGAAGTAACAGTAGAATCTTTCGAAGAATGAGTGCAAGATCGCCCAAGCATACAGTGATTAAGCAGAGCGCAGACTTCTCTCGAACCTGCTTTCAAGAAAGCCGATACCGAGCCTTCGCCTCGTGAAGTAAGGCTGCAAGTGCCGCCGGTCATCAAACTGCACTTGAGCCACGCCCGCTCCAGTTCTTGCTGTGCTTTCTGTGGCGGTGCCCAATGTCTTGAATCTGAAGCGGGTGAATGGTGATGCATCAGGAATGACGAATCCTTTTCCTTCGAGTTTAAGCTGCGATTTCGACAGCGCCTTGTATGGCAGCATGTGCAGGACACATCCACGCACGGCCATCGCAAGTTCATCAGTGTGTGCTAGACTTGGATCCCAGGTACAGCAACTTGGAGGAGGGAGCCAAAGTCCAGACCATTATGGCAAACGTCAATGAGAAGCTTCTCGGAATGTCGATTACGGGATGGGGGCAGGTATCTGCAGCTATTCCGTGAATACCTGTCTGCGCGACATTCTACTGTAGTCTCAGCACAGCAGGGAACATGCAAGTTTTTCGCAGGCGAGCCATGGCATCAACTCAAGCCGATGCCAGAGATCAGTTCCGAATATGTATCGAGAGCTTGCCGAGCACCACGAACGATCCAGAGAAGGAGTCTTGTCTGCCGAGTCGACGTCACAGCAGTTGACCTGGTGTCACAGCTTCTTCGCATAAAGCATAACAGAAACGATTAGAAACGAGTCTAGCGAGTCCAGCCAAGGAAGGCATGTATACTGGCCTCTCGGCTTCAAAAGCGAGGGGGACATACGTCACGGACATCGGACTTCGAGTGTGCACAGATCTGTGAATAGAAGATAGGCCGCAAAGCTAAGCTTGTCCTTGCTTGTGCAGCGCTTTCTGCAATGTTGTGCCCGCCGCAGGGCTGTATTGCCCACGGATTTCTACTGCAGGCTCTGACTCGAAGAACTGCTGGTTCCTCACCTTTGTGTATTTTCAAAACGTCACGCAGCTGAAGCCCCTTGGCTGTGGAGAGAAGCGTAAACAGCGTGAGACCGCTTCAAAAGCATCTCTTCATCTCTATGTTGCGTGCTTCTCTTTTTGGCAGGTTGCCTCCTCAGACTGGGCCTGACGGTTGGCTTCACTGCACTATTGGCTACGCCGCTCCGACGAACGGGGCAGAGGGAGGGGCACTTTTGTGCAGACAGGGTCCGTCTCTCCTTCCTCCCTTCGCCGATGTGTCTCGAAGGTGGACGGGAAAACCGAGCTGGCTGCTGCCTGGGATGGCGAGGAGCCGCGGATCACCATCGAGAGCTACACCAAGGACCGACGAGGACAAAAAAAAGCGGGTACGGATACAATGCAGCAGGAGGGCAGAGAGACAGAGAGAGAGCTGGTTGAGGCCCAAACCCGCTACAATGTATCCTGGTTCTACACGTTACACTCTTTCGATGCTGTTGCACACAAAGGGGGCGCCTGCTGTACCCAAAGTAAACCGGTACCAAACAACTTACACTAGGGCACTCCAGCTTGTGTCTATGCAGTCGCCCTTCGCAGCATGATGCCTGAGTTTGCGGTACCGATGAAACAACCCGGCAATGACCGGGCACAGCAACTCGCATAACGAGTGCAGCACGGACTCACGGCGCACGGGGAGCTCAACGAGGCAGGGGGCTACTGTACTTAATCGAGGCAGCATAGTCGGCTGTGAGCGAAGGGTTCCTCGCCTCAGAGCTCCTTGGAGTCCACACCAAGTGTCACACAGACCGGAGTGGAGTAGCACTTGCGCGCAGGGATCGAGGGGGTGCGCCCTCTGGCCCCAAACGCCCAGCAAACAAGCAAGAGAGAGAGAGAGAGAGACACAGTGATTTGTTGGACGTTACACATCAGGCAGCCATTGCCGGAGGCGACTCCGAGGGATAATGCGTGCCATCTTACCTTTGTCATGCATTGACTAACCTGGAGTTGTGAAATCTCCGTTCTGGAGTGATGGCATAACCTATATTGGCAAATATTGCCTAGGTAGTGCGGGTGATTTCACCCATGGCCTCCACAACGCCCTTTGCCCATATCCCTTCCGAAAGAAAGAGAGAGAGCGAGAGCGCCGGTCTGCGCCCTCGGAGCTGTGGGTGAGAGAAGAGAGACTCAGAGAGACTTTCCAATTTTTCCTTCTCTCTCTCCGAGGACATGTTTCGCACAGAGGCGTATCTGGGATGCGAGGTGCAGGTCACCGGAAGAAGCTCGGACAGCAGAGCACCTCAAGGGAAAGTCTTGGTCTCAGTCGCATCTTCTGACAGTGGTCAGGTGTGCAGAAGATTTGCAACCAGCTTCTTTGCGACCTTGCCTACGTTCGGGTTTGGGACAACTACGAACCTGGGAGGCAAAAGATTTGACTTTGGATCTGATCTGACAAAGTCGACCTTGATCAGAAACTCAGGAGCCTGCAGACAAGCTCAACAAGGAGTTTGCAGATGCCGGGGCACCCAATGCAATGCTCGTCGCCGGTAACCAAGCGGTCTTTGTCTGCCTGATGCCCATCATTCACGAGGACAGGGACTTGTGCTTTGCCAGAGTTGCCGCAGGTTGGTCATACTTGTAGGAACTCTGCGACGAGCGTGATGGCTTTAGGCTGCGCTCAGCACACTGTGTGGTTTGTGTACCGTTCCTGCTGCGTGCGAGGACCGCGGTTACATATTGGACGCCGTGCCCATGTCGGCGGATGTCGGCACAACAGTGACAACAACTGCGGCCGCTCAAAAGTCAGGAAGCAGCGCAGTCACTGCTCATCACGAATGGGATTGTCACAACAGCAGTTTTCTGCCAGGACCAAACACAAAAGTCTTTCCATCCGTCCGATCTCGCAGCTCGGAGGCGCATAGATGCCAATTCTGCATCTCACAGTCTTCTGTTGTTCTTCGTCCCCATTCGTTTTCATGGTGCTTTCAGCCCGCTAAGCCGAGGATACAATGTGTCCATGCAGTGGCCAGGATGTCTCTTCTGCTCGCTGGACTACGTGCCGCCTCTTGGAAGCATGAACACTTTCCAGAATCTGCTTGGAGGGCACCGGCACTGCGCAAATGCACTTCTTTGGCGAAGACCTAGGATCTTTACAGCACCTCGTGCAATATCCGATGGGCTTGTACTGCAAGATGGGCTGTTGCTCCTCGTCTGTGATCTCATTCATGCAATGTCTTTCATGACTCATTAACTGATTCATGACTCATCACTCATGTTGGTTAAGCTGGTGGCTCCAGCGCTCAGGCGTGTTGCCTGAATTTGCATTTTCGCGTCGCTGCCAACTGCGAATCACATTTTGAGTGGCTGCAGGTCATACCACAAGGTGTATCATTGATTCATCCAGAATCGGGGCTTACTTGACTAGTCTCGGGTGCCTGGTGGGGCCTTAAAGAGGTGCAGGAAACAGCAGCAATCGAGAGTTCATCACAGGTTGCAGCAGTATGAATGACATGAATACGCAACAGGTTGCCTTCGAAATCGCTCATTGCGAGTTTCCGCAACGCTTCGGGTTGAATCCCAAACCGCTGAAGCATGCCAGCCAAACATCAACCGGTCCGCGAGCAGTGCATCGACTGATCCAGTCCCACATAACATTCAGAAAGATACTTGCGAACGCTCCCGAAATTCACAAACAAGGCCATGTTCAATTCCGCGTCGATGCCGTTTTGTTGTCTTGTTGCACGCAACATGTCATGTCCTTCTGGGTGCTGGGGTGTGCCGTCACAGTTCGGGCTTTTAGGTTTCCCGCACACCATTGCTGCGCTGAGGGGAAATCTAGGGCCTATGGCAAGACTGAACACTTGTCGGAGCCTTCTTGAGAGTTTCTACTCTGGCATGTGTGCACCCCTGCGTGTAGAGCAGTCCCATGCTCGGCAATGGAATCTCCAGAATCCGCAGTGGACCAACTGAGCTGTCTCACTTGGTTCTATCTGCAGGATTTTGCTCGATCGGAATGTGTGCGCGTGGCCGTGGTGTTTTGGAGTTCTGCAGCTCTCTCTGCGGCACCCCTGTCATGACACGAACCTCCGCGGACGAGTGCCGGAGTCCTCGTTGCAGCCTACAGCCCCGAAGCGCCAAAAGAAGTGATGGGCCTCATGTGCGCATTGGTACTTAGCAAACCAGTCTTGGAAAGATCTGACAAGCCTTCGAGGCCTCACAGCTGCGCAGTGCTTCGGGCAAATTCTTCTGCCGGGATGGCGTTGCCGGTGGGAACGGGCAGTTGGCCTTGCACGCAGCTGCTTGGTTTGCATTGGGCAAGGCATTTGCATCTGCGTCTTGCTAATGTCTGAGGCCATGCTTGTCAGTGTCTTGGCTGCTGGAAGCTGCCACACAGCTTGCAGGGGTACACTTTCGGAAAGTGCATCGGACTTGGCATCCGCGCGTGCCAAGGAGCGCGGCGCTTATCAGTTTCAATGGCTGATCCATCATCCTTCTTCCATCAATGGCTCGATCAAGAAAGAGCAGTGTGCAGTAGGCTCGCTGCAAGCCCCAGTTCCAGCATCCTGTCGGTGTTTGCTGCTCGGTCCAAGAGGCTTGCTATTGCAGAACGACTTCTCCGAGCTGTACCGTGCGAGCAGCCTTTCTGCATACTTCAATCGTGCGAATGCTGTAGAAGTTTTCAAGCACAGTCCGAAAAAGGGGTAAATTCTGTGGATACCCGTGTCGTTTGTGTAGATCTGCTTCGCGGCTGCATTGGCCTGCCTGCTGCTCTGACCCGTGCCTGCGCTGACGTCTGGCTTGGGGCAAGTAAGAGCCGATGCTTTGTCGATGCTTTCGTGTGGCCGTGAAATTATCATGTGCAACAGCCCAGCTCCCATGCCCCTGTGCAGGTCTTACTAAAACGTGTTCTTATGCCCGGTAGGTTAGCAGTTAGCAGATGCTGAGTTTATTGTGGGAGCCCACCACCAGTGTCACATTGGATGCTGCACCCAGCGGTTTGTTTGCGATTGCCCGAGTCATGGACACGAGCTTCTGGATAGCAAAGCTGTTGTGAGCCGTGCTGACTGCTGACTTTAGGACAGGGAGGATGTTAAACAGTAGATGCCAGGGAAACACCATGAGCCGTTTGGGGGCCTCCTTGGCGTTGACTGGAAATCCAGCCGTTGATTCGACAGCCTGCTGCTGTGCGTACCTTGGAGTGCGCATATTTTTCCCGCCATCGTCCTCTGCGTTTCGTCCTATACATCCGACCCATTCCGACCTCCCACCCCGGACCTGTCCCGAAACTCGGCAAACCCCAAATTCCGAATAGAAGGGATCTTGGTTGGCAAGCCTCAAACTCAACACCCTACCAGAAAATGATGGTCCAAGACGAGGTTGGCCCTCCGGTTTAGGTGTACTCATCCGGCCTGCAGGCCATTAACATCCCCGCACACCTGTGGTGTATGTACCCCACACCACCCACCCCCTGTCGTTGCAAGTGGAGAGACGAGAAAGCCCACGTTAGCAAGATGATGGGAAGTTGGGATTGAAGGCTTGGGTGCGCATGGCTTCGGAGCACCGTCCTGGCGACGATGCACTTATGCAGATTGTGTTCCGGGCGAAGTGATCAGCGATGGAAGGCAATTTCCATGGCCAAGATTACAGCATGGCCCCGGTTCGTTTCCGCACGGTTTCCGTGAACCGGAACCGGAATCTGTGCGGTTCGGTTCCTGCGGTTCCGGTTCTTGCGGTTCCGGTTTGCGGTTCCGACGGTTCGCTATTCATAGGTGAGGCTTCTGAGTACCTGTACTGGTTTAGCTCGTCTGATTCTGTCAGTCACTATTATTGCTATTCAGGGGCCCAAATAGCGGAGCATTTCGGGCGCGTACGGGCCGAAAATGCCAAATAGTGGAAGAATCGGTGCCCTGCTGGGCGGGGGCTCCAGGGAGCTGTGGGGGGAACGGGGTGCAAATTCTTCCGCGTTTCGGGCGTGTATGGGACGGAAGCGCCAAATAGTGGAAGAATCGGTGCCCTGCTGGGGCTGGGGGGGGCTGTGAGGGAATGTGGGCCTTCCAAGCCCCCCAAATTGAGCTTTTTGGCCTGTTACCAGACCTCAAAACCCTTTTTGCCAGCCAAAATTGCGTTTTCCCTTTGCCAGGCGATGCCCGGCCCCAAAATTGTGTTGTTAGCCATTTCCAGGCCTTCCGCCCCGTAGGTTCGCCTTTTCTTGTTGGCCTGTTAAAGCCCCCCCAATTCCCCCCCAAAATGGCTTTTGGCCTTTTGCAGGCCCAATTTCCAGATACTCTTCCAACCCTCCAAATGGAGCTTTTTACCTGTTACCAGGCCCTCCCCAGCCCCCCAATATGGGTTTCATTTGGCCTTTTGCCAGGCCCCGTCCAGTTCCGCATTTCGGGCACGTACGGCCCGGAAAGCCAAAATAGCGGAAGAATCGGTGGTCTCGGAGACAGAGAGACGAGAGAGCGCGAGAGAGAGAGCGAAAGAGAGCGGCAGAGAGCGAGAGAGAGCGAGAGAAAGACAGAGAGAGCGTCCTTGTGGAAGGCGAGAGATAGACGGAGACAGAGAGACAGAGAGCGCGATAGAGCGCCAGAGAGAGCGAGAGAGAAAGCGCGCGGGCGAGGGGCAACCCTCGTCCGTAGCCCTGGCGAAAGAAAGAGAGAGCGAGAGAGTGACAGAGGGCCAATGGCCTGAGGGTCGCAAACACGCGACCCCTATGCCCTGCAGAAAGAAAAGAAAGAGTGACAGAGAGAGAGAGAGAGAGAGGAATCTTGAAGATTCACATGTCAGCACATGTAGTTGGCTGGGCTAGTTTGTTGGCTATACAACTTGTGCTGAACCCTGTGAGTCATTCAAGAGGCATGTGTGCTCGAGAACATTCAATCGCCCAAGATTGTCCTATATTTCTAATACCTAGCCTTAGCGTGTGGGTGATTCATGTTCGTTCCTCACTCCCCGTACAACCCGAACAAAACGTTCGGGTGGGCATTTATGCCCGGGGACGGTGACGCGTCCCCATGCCCGGGAGAGAGAGAGAGAGAGGAACCTTTTTCCGGTTCGGTTTCCAGGGTTCCCCTGCGGTTCGGTTCCGGTGCAGTTCGGTTCTTCGCGGTTCGGTTGTTGCGGTTCCGGTTCTGCGGTTCCGGTTCGGTTCCACGGCCTTCCTGAGATTACCACACTGACAACTTGAGAGGGAATATGGCTTCGGACACCCTACAAGTACGCAGCTGCAACACCATTCCTGAAAGAAGTTCTTGCAGGTTGCATGTCAGGTGAAGTCCAAGCGATTTAGTTCCTGACTTCCGAGGCTGTGCGACATTGGATGTCACACTCGACACGAAGATGGCCCAGCAAACACCGGACAAGCGATTCTTGGAAGTAAAAGCGTCATAAGATGTTACAAGTTATAACCTTAATCCCTTTGGATGTCCCCCTGTTCGTGTCATCGTCCCACTACAGTGAGTTAAGGACTAAACGACTTGGACGAGGCTGTCGAAGCTGAGTGTGCGTGGCTGTTCGATGCTGTCCCACGAAATACAAGATCCGTTTTTCATGTGGAGTGACAGCATCGTTCAGCGCAGCGATACAGCTTCATGTCTTCCAAAGAGCATTTAGAGGCATGGGTTCGTAAACCACAGAAACGAGGCTGTTGGAAAGCTTCCTGTGACAGGCCAAGGAGGCGATGAAGATCAGCTTGACTCGGCGAGGTGGGCACGAAGACAGCAAGAGCTCGCCAGTAGAATTTGGTTGCTGCAGGCTGCATCCTGAGAATGCAGCTGCTTTTTGCGGACTCCGCTCTGTGGATCTCTGTGCTACTGGACAGCAAGAGCCACGCGAAGGGGCAGCTTGCATGCACCTTGGTACGAGCCCAGGTTCGTGAACGACAGGCTCATCGATGCCCAAAGCCTTGTCCTCCCACCGCAGTCCGTTCTCGTTCCATTTGTGCGCCACGGATCGCAGAGAGTTTTGCCATGCAGAGTATCTGTGTGCCGCTGTGTTCAAGAGTGGACACATCTCCTCCCGGATCAAACCGAGGCACATGGGCTTGCAGGGTACTTACAAGGGGCAAAGATTTGCGGCATTTTTCCTATTCATGCCTACATGTGATTAGTAAGGGCTGGCCAGATGTTTCAGTCGCTTCCCAATCTCTTCTCCAGCTGCATGGCTTTAAAACAGACGCGATCGCGCAAGCTGTGGGATCAAGTAGGGCAATGTAGGCTCCGTGCATGAAATCCGAGGCTTGACGTGCGCTTCTTGGCCGCAAACAGACCCGGCAGACAGGCAAGGGTAGCCCTCGCCTTGAAGAGCTGGAGAGGACCACTTCAAGTTCCAGCTCCCTGGCAAGAAGGACTTCCCTGATTCCACCAAGCCGCTGCATGCTACTGCCCACATGCAGCCCGCAACGGAGATGCGTCGTCAGGAGCGGCTGAGCCTGCTGCCAATCTCCCATGTGACGTGGCCCAGCTACGAGCACGGAGTCGCGCCTCCAGCAGTGTCAACCTCCAATTCGATTTATGCAGCATTGGGCTCAGATGCAGCCTGCGAAGCATTCTGACTGGAAGAAGCGATCGCGTTTCGACTTCCGAGGCCTACTGCAACTTTCGGGACTTTGAAGCAGACGTATTGCCCAATCCAAGCAACGAGCCAGCCTCAGACTACGCTCAGCTATTTGGGAGCTCGTTCAGAAAATTCGCGATGCACGAAACGATGCAGCCTTGAGGATGTGGTGCTCGAGCGCATCAACATCCCCTTGCTGGATCCACGGGCCGAGAAGACTCGCGCACTCCTGGAAGCAATCCTGGAGGGGGCCCTAAGGGACAAAGACCGAGGCCTCGATCTGGGCTGTGGGCTCTTGTGTGGATCTTCTCCAAACTGCATGAACCATGATGAGTCGTGCGTCACGTGAGCCACTTGCGCCTTGGGACATTGAGGCCTGTCATGCAATAACTTCAACAGGGGTCGAGAGCAGAGAGAGGTGCTCGAATCAAATTCTAAGTGCACATGTCCGTGGCAGTGCGAGAGTCCTCAGCGGACATGAAAGGATTTGGAAATCCTGCGACTGCTGCCGCCAAGAACTTGAAAACGGCATACACCACACGATATAGCAACAGTTCTCCTGAGGCTGAGGTTTGGAGGAGAGCGAGGGATTGTGCTGACCCGATCTGGCAGGGGAAGTCCGTTTTCCCGAAGACATGCTGCTGCTTGCGGCGATGTGCTCATCCGAGCAGATATGGAGGTGGACTGCTCCTGCATATAATCCGCCTCCAACAGTAGAGTTGCGCAGCAGCCGGACATCAAGCCCATGCTCGGAGGGTGTGTGTCCGGAAGATTGATATCTCAGGTTTGTGGCGCGCAAGCGTAAGGACTCGGAACTTTATCTTGCAATGGAGAGCCTACTCAGAGCCTTGCCAGCAGCACATGGAGGCATGGAGGTGTGACTGCTTCTGGGACTAGGTTCGGCGCGCATTGCCTCAGCTTATGTCCAAGGCAGTCAAGCGACATTCATGGGACTTGCAGAAGCAACAAAGCGGAAACGTTACGCATTGCTGGCTTTGGGCATCTTGCTGCGCTTTCCTCATTCCTACGAGGCTGGTTGGGCCGAGGTCATGAAGCCATGTCATGAAGACTGTATGCTTAAATGCTATCATGGAGAGTCTGTCGGCAGCCAGGCACTGTTCGAGATGGGTTTTTTGCAAGTGATGGCCAGATTTCTGTCGACTGGCCTGCCGTCAGTGCATGATGAGGCTTCAGCACATCACTTAGTTGGCTTGTCTGTGCAGAGTGATCGTGCCCAGCGGCATAGGTGTTGTGACGGAAGATGGCAAAGTAGGATTGCCGCCAAGGACACGAGCGGGCTCACTGCACGTCTGAGCACACGAGCGTTGCGTGTGGACTCCTGGAAGAATCGGCTGCAGGCAGCCAGGAACATGCGCCTTGACTGCAAGCGCTGACAAACTGTTTTGTGAGAGTAGGGTCTGCAGCAAAGACGAGGTACTCCCTGCTTGGTACTACATCGCATCTTCTCCCTCCTGTGGAAGCTCCAACCTATGTCGATACCTTCAGCGAGATGCGCTCCGTGGCCAATGCCCCAGCTGTGGGGTTGAGTGCATTTGAGTGCGTTTCAGCGCTGTGGACCGAGCCATGGAGCCGAGGTGGGGAGCAGTACACAAGAGCGCTCCGAAGTCAGCTACGTCTTGCAGGAATGCCAGGACAGACGACCACGAATTGTTTGCTTGTTGCCGTCACCGGTACTGGCGAACTCTCTTGCAGGATGCAACAGCTGCCGACCTGGGGAAGTTCACGGATGCACTTCGAACCTACTCGGCCTCGGGCTTTGCCGAAGGCGAATGCCGCCCCGAAAGCCGTCTTGCAGTATCTTGCAGTCCAAGGCTGGGACGGCAGGATTGCGGTCACCAGGGTCTCCTGACAATGCATCGGTCATCCTCAGCGACGCCTGCCTGCAACTGTTTTAGTTTGCGAAGCCTCCTGGTTTAAGCCATGGAAGTCGCTTTCAAGGTCCTGAACGCATTGACCCACATGATTGGACGTGATGAGTGCCTGGACAGAATACGTACTTCTACTGTTGGTGAGATGTGCCTCCATCTGTGCAGAATTGTGCATAACTGCTGCGGGCATTCATGTGCAAGTACCCCATCCTGATCCTTTGCTGACTGATCCACGGTGATGCTGTCCAGGTATCCTACACGCGCCGCTGATTCTCAGTTGCGTACGATCACCAGCGGTTCTGCAGAGTGTGCCTGCACTCGTTAACACTGATAGTTCGAGTTGGAGTCAAGCCTTTGTGGACAAGCAAGAATAGCAAGATCAAGAGTAATAGTGGCGGGTAGCAAGGCCACAGTCCGCCGGAATTGCATAGCACGCGTCTCCCTGCAATCAGGAGAGTGAGCACCAGGCTCAGCGGTTGAAAATGCATGCATCCAGCAACATTTACGAGTGTTGCATTCCGGATGCATCAAACATTGCGACTCAGCTCAAGTGTGAAGTCTCCTGTATCGTTTTGGTCTGAAGACAGAGAGCCTAAATTGTTTGCACCATGTGTGTAGGTTCTGTATTCGCATCGCAAGACCACCCCCCCAGTGTCGAAGATGGCGTTTGTAGGTGATTACATTCGACAACATTCCAATTGGGAATGGCTCCGTCGAGATCCTTGAAGGCGATTGCGAGTGCGAGAGAGTGAGGTGAGCCAAGGGCTCAAGAGAGTGTGGGCTGCGATAGCCTGGCAGGTGGCACTCGACGAGGCATTTGGTCTCGCTTCTCTGATGATGCCGAAGTCTTCAAGCCAGAGCCCAAGCGCACGCGTGCTCATGCCACAACAAGCTGTGAGTAGTTGCGACATGTTGCGACCGGCCCAGGGTCACGATCCAATCTGCGGCTCGGCACAGAAGCGTTGATGAGCTGGCGAAGGTTACTTAGCATGCCACCAGAAGTATTGAGATCACATGCTGCAGCATGCACCGAAGGGTGGTGCAATGCTCGCGGCTCAAGGCTGCGCATGAAAGATGCGATTTCGTGTTGCGATCAGGTGTTGCGCTCATCGGCACTCTGGTTTCAGAGAGGTGATCGGTTTCTGACCGTATAGGCTATGAGAGCAATGCACGCTTCGTGGTAGCTCTGAATGACTTAACACATAGTCGCCTCGCATGCCATTTGTCATGTTCCTTCGTGTGTCCAAGTTTAGGTCTTAGCCTTACAGCTCAAGGTTTCAGGCTGTGTTAGGGTTCGGGTTTAGAGTTATTGAAGGCATGTCGTCACCCAGCATGAGGACACTTTCCAGTGGCGATTCAAGTACGAGTCCGAGGAGATCCTGAATTCCGTGCAGGATCATGAGGTGGGCTGTGAAGTGCTGTTCTTTGTGTTTCTCCGTACAAGCAGTCTGACTCACAGGACTCAGTGGATCGCGAGAATCGGGGATACCGATTCGTGGTTCGACCTGTGCTGCTCTGCAGAACAGATCCCGGCTTTTCCAATGTACTGAGCTCGCCTCCAGTGGGCCGGAAGAGATCTCGCAAGAGGTGGGACACGGACGATGCCCAGACGATTTTTGCCCGACGCCAGCTCATTCTGGACAAGCCAGGTGCAATGCATGATGCGGACGCAGTGTCAAAGTTGAAGTGCTGCCAGCCGAACAGGTTTCGTGAAGCTGCTCACCAGCTTGCATTCGCAAGCCAAAGGCCTCGGTGCCGGTGGCGAGAAGGTGGACGCTTCCGGGCAAAAGCTTGGGGTCAACTACTGCAGATCGTTGCCCTCGGCCGAAGGTGCAAAACGAAGTCGATTTGAAAGTCGTGATGCTGCTATCCTTCTTGGCACAGCGAGGCTCAAAGCCTGCAGCTTCGGTGCGACAGTGAAAGCAAACCTGAGCTCACTAGCCTGTCGGATGACCCCCTCCTCGGCTCTCAGCCTCGATTGCCGGCCTGGTGGGCAGGTACAAAGCCTCCGCATCCAGTAGCTTCGTTGCAAGTTGACATGCGCTGCTGCACACGACAAGCCTATCACGCTGCTCAGGCGATGACCACTGAAGATCCCGCCGTGGAGAAGATTATTTTCCAGACACTTGCCTTGAGAGGTTTACGGATCGAATCGTTCTCACTCGGCACCACAACAGGACATGCTTGCTTAAGCAGGTGGCAGGGTGCGGCGCCTTCAAGCCTTCGAGTTCAGAAAGATGATAGGAGGGGCCAGCAGTTACGCAGTCCCGTCAGTCCAGTCATCAAGCACCGGTGGCCTTTTCACTTGAAGCCCTTGGTGTGGTGGGCATGTGTGCTCCTGCAGCAAGACATTGCATCCATTTACATCTACAGTCGCAGGTCCGAAGGCTTCGGATAGCAAAGCAAAGGCACTCATGTAGACAAGAGCTTCACTGACGGCCTGAATGACTTAATTCCCCCGATGGCCGGAGCCAGACTTGGAGCGGACAAGGCAGCGCAGGCGCATGGAAGATTCGACGATCGGTGAGGACTTTGAGGAGTAAGATGATGCGCGGTTCCCCTTCTGTCCTGCCCGCAAATCTTTGCAGGCAGGCACTACCACGTGTGGCCGTGAAAGATTCATCTCTGTACTCGGAGCGGCACAGAAAGAGTTGCCATGAGACTTGCAGGTGGGGCATGGGCCTTGCGAGTTGTGCCTCGGTCCTGGCTTCCAGTTCCTTCAAGCATTCTCGTTGCAAGCGCACGCCTCGACAGTTCGTGAGGAATGAGACAGTGAAAGCTGCTAAAGGCTATGTTCGAGTCATCAAGAAATTCCCTCCTCCATGGTATCAAGCTCTCGAAGCAACGCTGATCGGGATTTGTGTAGCATGCGTTTGCTTCGGTGAGACAAATCCCGGTCAAGCACGCTTCGTGGAGTCGGAGCCCTGGTTCGGCTACAGCTCTGGCGGGCTCTCTGTCGAGGATGTAATAAATTTAATGTTTTGCTCTGAGCTTCTACTGCGTGCTTGGGCGAACGATTTTCAAGCAAGCTGGTTTTTTCGTGGAAGCTCCATAACAGACCTTGTCTCGTGTTTGCCTGTCCTTGACCGGGCCTTTGCATTGACGCCTTCATCGGATCTTAGCTTGGAGCTGACTCTTTTGCGCTCCATCCGCTTTGTCCGCATCTTCCGGCTTTTGAAGTCAACAGCGATCATCGAGGATCGGCAGGGGCGCCGAGTCAGCAGTTTGGGCTTGTCGGTGGTGAGGATCCTGGTCTCGGCCATTGGCACACTGTCAATCTCGGCCGGTCTGCTTTGGAGGGTTGAGGGCCGAAACGGCATGAATCCTTCGCTCAACTCCTTCGGTGATGCCTGCTTCTACATGCTGAATGTTTTTACCTCTCAGGCGCACCGTTTCCGGTTGCCAGTACGGAGGGCAGGTTTGTCACAAGCGTTGCTATTGTCATCGGGTTGCTATCTTTACCGGTTCAAGTTTCAGAGCTATTTGCAGTGCTGCGAAGCTGGAAGGCTGAAGAAGAACGGGAAGATCGGGAAGGGGGGACGCTTAGAGACGATCTGCTTGAGGAAGCTCGGGATGTACCTCAAGCCTCGTCAGTTCAGCAGTCGGTGCAAGGCGATCTTCCATCATCAGACAAAATCGGTGCTAGCTCATCCGCTTTTCTGGAAATATCCGTCAGAGATTTTTGCCAAGAAGCTGGACTTGGTGTGGAGGCGCTTGAGCCAAAGGTGGTGGAGTCGGATTTGATTGACTTCTTTACCGTGCTCGAGGATCCTGCAACGGCAGGTCATATTGCAGCTGACCCATGCGTTCGCATCAAGCTGGCGGCTGCATTGATCCGAAGGAAGCGGCTTTACAAGAGGACTTGACATTGCCAGGAGAAAAAGACAGAGAGAAGTCCGGCTATCATCCTTAGCATCTTCCAGTGTGCACGCCATGCCTAAGTCCTAGTGAACGGTACCTAGAGCCTAGGTTTTCCAGTGTCCCTCCCACACCTAGTTCAAGGGCGACCTCAAGATTCCGAGCCCCCGCGGTTGTAGTTGTCGAATGTGTTTTTTTTTCCTTCGGGGGGGGGGTTATTATTTTGCGAACATAGACCTTAGATGTATGGACTGTATGGAGCAGAGAGTGAAGGGACGTCGCTCTGAGGATCATGTTCCAGCTCTTGGAGTCCCGGCCAAACATTGAGCGACAGTGTGGAGTTGGTGGGAAAAGTGCCCTGGAAGTGCAAATAACATGTTTGTGCACTTTGCCATCTTTTCTCTGATGAATCCTGGTTCCCCACCTACCTCGAGAGACGCCTGATTTTACAAGGGCGAAAGCTCTTGGACCGGCAGCACATCTCGGTTGCTCGATTCTACCACGGAATCTCATCAAGAGACTTGGACAGCACATCGATCAGGCGGGCTGAGATTGCCTCCGAAAGGTCACTGATACTTGATATTCTCGGATGGTCAACGTGCGTATTCTGAGGTGAAGAAGGGCGTCAGCACTTTGCTTACCACCAGGAGGCCCCGCTTCCTAGTCTATGCAGCAGACACGGGCTGTGGTGAACAAGAGGCCATCATGAAGATCGTGGACATTGCGAACAACAACACGCAGGGTGCCTCCAAGCCCGACTGCCAGCCCGCCTCGCATCAAGCTCTGTGCAGCTTGACTCGCGACTTCTGTCTATCAGAACCGTACGCGGTTGCCCAGCCAATGCCGAGGCTACGATGGTAATTACATCATCCGCTGCCTGACCAACTTCTCCAACAAGCCGTCAAAGTGCCCCTGCCGGCTGGTCAGATCCTCGCAGGGTTCCCTGCTTCGACAGGTGGGCCCTGACAACTTCTCTCAACCTCCTACGACCAAAGCAGCATGCTGCCGGCTGGATGTGTGAATTCGCTCGTGGAGAGGTCGTCGGGGACTCAGATCAGAATCATGAAAGAACTCTGGAATACAGCAACACCCAAGGTGTGGAGCCTTTCGCTTCATGTCTTCCTGATGGATGAACACCAAGCTGAGCCTTTGCCTGCATATAAGGGTGGAAGAATTTGCTCGCTTGGCTTGCACCAGTCAGCCTGGAACAGAGCTCAGGACATGCCCGCAATTGTGTTCTACAAGGGTACATCGCCATCTGAGGTGTGAAGCCAGATCGCTTTTGTGCTTGGACATGCTACCATCAGTTGCTAGGTTCAGCTTGCTGTCGGGGTGGGCCATGCCACGACCGTTTCGACCGAAACAAAGGCCGGGCTCGTCGAGACATATAAGCAGAGACGATGACGTGGGCCTCGCTCGGACACTGCAAAAGGGACAGAACTCACTCTCACGAATCTGATTACAGTTCATCACCGAAGCCTGGTGCAGAACAGGTAATTCCGGGCTGCCATCCAATCATCGTGAGGTGTGGGCATGTTCATTGAGAGCACGGTAGAAGGGATTTCAGCAGCTTCGTTCATGAGAGAAGCGTGAAAGGTACACGCATGATGGTCGTTTGAAGACGCTGACAATCCCGAGCAAGTTCGTGGAAATCTATCGCTGGGCCCACCTGGTGCGGCCCTTGACTTGTAATCGTCGACACCGCTTCTGCCCTGCCCTTCTTGGGTTGGGTGGGATCGGGGAAGGGAAGCTATGGGAAGCTTTGCACAGCTTCATGCCTTTGGTGCATGGCAAGGTTGTGGCGATAGATAGCGCCGGGGGCCTGGAATGGCTCCGTCTCGTTATGGTAGTCTTGGGCCTGACAGGTCAACATGGCTGTGGTCATGAACGGTGAGCTCATCTACACACACACCCTTCCATGCGAGTTGATGGCTGACAGCTCAGTGCAGCAAAGCAGCCAAGGCCCAGAGCTCTTAGAATTGCTCTTCCGAGGTGAACTTCCAACCGGGGCATCAGGACACCTTCCTTGGCGCCCCTCCCTGGGAGTACGGCAGGTCCACCACTGCATCAGCGTGGGCCTGCTGGCAGCAGAGAATCGACTCACAGCGCATCGGAGAGCGCTCGCCACGAGTCTCGAGGTCTACCAGCTCATGCTGGTGGGTGGAAGAGCCATGGAGCCACAGCATGCAAAAGAGGTACAGGCTCAGGATGAGCTGAAGGCCTTCTGCCCAAGTCTGCCGGAATGAGCCGCGTACTCCGTGTACATCCGTGTACTCCTCCCTTTTTGCTTTCTTGAGAGGCCTGGCAAGACAATGGCACCGACATGCAGCATTTCGACTACAGCCGCATCGGCCTCACTGGATCGGACGATCTTCCGGACCCCGTCAAAGCCTCAGTCGCCACCAGTGCTCAGGGAGGAGGGAGGGAACTTCGGCTCAGCTCTTGCCACCCTCCTCTGCAGGTGCACTTGCCTGGCTTGCCCGTGCAGATCTTTGATGCCCGGTTGAAGGCCCGCAACATCGAGATTTTCTAAACAAGCCTTCGTTCGTTCGACTGTTGCTGCTGGGCATGCCTCCCTGCCCGCTGTTTAGGTGCTCATAGTTCCGCTTACGCTCGTTGCAGGTTGCATCCGAGGAGGGTATAGAAGTGCTCTGCGACCTGCTGAAGGATCCGCTCGAGGCCGCTTCATTGCTGAAGCCGTCATTGAGAGAAGGATAGAGATATCGAACTCCCTCCAGGCACAGAAGCAGGCCGCAGGCCAAGCCCTTCGAAATTTGGCAGATCCTGCCGTTGTGACCAACATGCGAAAGGCCCGAATCTTGGTTTGATGCACGGGTCGCACCGCTTTCACTCCTGTTGAAAACATGCACCGCAAGGTTGTAAGTGTTCTGCTGCGGAAGCTGCTCATCTGCATCTCCAGTCCTGCTCGTCTTTTCTGCTGTGATTTGGCACTACTACACAGTCGATGCATGTCAGCAGAACATGGCATTACGTACCCTTTGCGAGCATGGTAGTGGTAGTGGCGCTTTGCATATGGGGTGTCCGCGTTTAGCCTGATCGTTGCGGTTGGCCGCTGCTTGATTTTTAACGGCCAGTTTCGATTTGAACTGGCGGCCATGCCAGATCCATAGATCCGGATACTGGGGCGGATGCCAAGAAGATGGACAACGTCTGCAGCGTCATGTTGGAGGACAGCGGCAGCCACTACTAGCCGCAGTCCTGAGTCTGGTTTGCAGGCTCGGGAGGCGGCTACATTTGAGGCCGTGGCCGAGTTGGCGACAAACCTCCTCACATGGACTCCGCCTCCGGGCGAGGAGAGCTCTGTGAAATCTGAGCCTTTCGCATAAAGCGCTGGCAGCTGGAAGGAGGGAATTGATCGAGAGGCACGCTTGGAGCTAATCAAGCACATTGTCAAGCAGCACTCGGATTCTGCAATCACTGAGGCACGGCAATTTGTTATGTTTCGTCGCGGCCATTTGGTAGCAGGTCCCTGACAGACTGTTACTAAGAAGTCCAGGCTCGTGCCCCCATTGTGGTACATCAGCTGCTCATGCTGATCCACTTCCAAGAGAACGTTCAGCATGCGACCCAATCTGGATGTGAACTCTTGAGTCTTCTCGGGAATCTTGACACGAAGCGTGGTTACAGGTGCTTGGCGGATCCGTCCGTCGGAGCGATGAGCACATTCTTCCGTCACTTGTGCCTTGTGATATGCGGTCGAAGGCAGGCTGTCGAAAGCCGTGCATTGCTAGCGACTCAGGCTTTCTGACATCCAACTTCACGACAGTAATTCGCACGCAGGACGACTGCTAGCGGAATAGATCCGTTGTTTTCTTGGCCCGATCATGCATGGAGGATCTGTTGATCAAGCTGCTCGCCGGGCCATCGCTCGAATTACGTCAACACTGGGCCGAGGAAATTTGCCAGGTGGCCCCCCCGGTAGGTACGTGGTTGCTTTTGTCTAGGCTACTCTCGACTGCAATGACACGGAATCCTCTCCTGAATTCGTTTCTCGTCAGAGCGGGCTTCTTTTAGAGCCTCGACCCGGGCTCGAGTCAATATGCGTGACCAGACACTTCCGGACATCACTGGAAAGCTGATTCCCGAACTTCTCTTCGGTGGGATAGGGGTTTAAACAAGTTTTTTGAGGGGTATAAAAATATTTAAGGCATCAACTATTTAAGGGATCGAAAATTATTCCTATTTTATAAGCAGAATACAGACAACGGAACAGCACAAAGCATAGACACCTGTCCCAGGAATCCAAAAACTACTCCAAGTAAAATCTAGAAAGCAGGACATAAAGAAACAAAGAACGAAGGAAGCAAAGAAATAAATAGCAACAAACAGAAACACGGAAAGAACGACAGAACGAATTAAGCACAAAACGGAGCAAGCAAGTAAAAAGGCAAAGATAACAAATCGAAAGAAAGACAGCATAAGCAAAGAATATAGAAAGAAAGAACGAAAGACTGAAAGAGGTAGCAATTCAGCGCGGAGAGAAAGAACGCAGAACGACAAAGAAAGAAAGAAAGACAGGATGGTATAAAGAAAGAAAGAACGAACAAAAGCGATCGAAGCAAGAGAGAAAGAAAGACCAGCAACTCAGCACTGAGAAGTTAGTCCCTTACAAAAGATACTAAGTAATTACAGATGCACTTGCCGTACTAAACATCTAGTTACTTAGGCCCATGCACTCTTTGCAGACAGTATATAAGTTTTAAAAGAACCCTCTGAAACCATCAAGCCAAAACCTTCATTCCCAGAGCTTCGTTTCGTGCCTGTTCTCAGGATGATAACGATGACGATGATGATGATGAGGAGGATGTTGACGATGAGGATGTATATGTACATGTGTAAGTATACGTAGAAGCATAAGTATACGTAGAAGCATAAGTATAAGTGTATATGTATATGTATATGCACAAGGATGTATATGAAATATGTATATATATATATGTATATATATATATGTTACATAAATATATATATATAGATATGCATGGGGAATATGCGTGTTTGTATATATATATATGAACATATGCAAATATATGTGTGTGATTATATATATGTATATATGTATGTCCACATGAATCTAAACCCGTCCACTCCGCCCCATGCCCGCTCAAAACAACCAAGCCAAGTCAAGCATTGTAAAGCGAACATGGTGTGCATTCGGCGCATATGAAGTTTTGAGCCAGGCGAACCTGCCTCAAAAAGTGGCCTGCCATCAATGGACATTCCGTCAAGCAGCCTTTC